TATATGGATGGGAAACGCTGAAAAGCTTTTTGCATTTAACCGATAATTCCTATTCCAGACAACGTCGTGTAATTCATCTATGAAGCATATAAAACGTGATGAAGGGTCTTCTATTACTTTTATCTGGAATGAATATTTATAACCAATACTGGAATTCTTGCTCCATATGTGTCGTCGCGTGAATATTCGTCACTTCCGAGAGTTTCGACTGTCGTCAAACAATCCGATTTTTATTACATTTTTCGAGCAGGTAGAGAACCAAAAAATATTAGAAACGTATTTCATTCAGTATCGACTGATATTTATATTTAAGAGAAATATCTATTTAGTTGTATTTTTCAACGAAGGTACACAAGAGAGAAAACAGCAATTTAAATCTTTATTTAATAAATTTCGTAAACTTTTTGTAAACTAATTTTTGAAACTTATAATGGTACAAAACCCTATGCTGGTACTGAAAAAAATACATTTTTCCTTATTTGTTAAAAAATCGGAATATTGGAAAAATATATGGGATCACTGACCTATTATTTAGATTAACCAATTTTCGGCCAGTAAAAACATGTTTTGATTACAATTTATATTTACAAAATAGATTAACTAAGTACTAAAATTCTATGGCCAGTTTACTTAATAAACAACGTAATATCTGTCTACTTTAAATTTGAACTTTAATTGAACATTTATTGTCAATGTAATACTTTAATCAGGATTCTTTGAAATTTCGCGCTGAAGATCCTTGTACTTCTATTTAAACTTCTTGGAGTTTTAAAATCTGTTTACCACGCATTGTATCTTACAATTTAATTATTAGATCTTTATTGAATTGCTCTTAAATCAAATTTACTGCAATTACAAAAGAATATTTAGAAGCAACTGGCAAATATATCGAGATCGGTTGAAATTGACACGACAATTCGAGAAAAATACAGATCGGATATTAAATTATAAAATTAGTAGAAATCCTGGTGAAAAATTCTTCGAGTTCTGTGAATCAGGGGACGCTGACTCGATTACTTTCGCGCTGATACTGACGTAGCTTTGGCGTGTTTCAATTTGAAACTTTCGCCTCAAACAAGCTCCTCTTTATGCCCTTATTTCCCGAAGATGTGTACAGAGCAAAGAGGGTGCCGTGTCGAAGATAGGAAAACCACCTAGGAGACCCGCGCTGAATTTTAATATGTCCAAACTCTCGAAGGCACGGACGCGGGACAAATTCCGGATGACATAGCTGCAACGATTTCGTGACGAGAGAGCATAACGCTAATCTACAGATGGCACGTTCTTACCTCAAAATGTCTGTCCGTCTCTGCGTAACCGTCTCCAAAGTAGCCTATTCGTGAAAATCAAAACTAAACAAGTATTGGGTAAATAAAAATTAAAAGTATCGACACACGATGCTCTACGAAAAACTAATATCAATGTTACATATACAAAATAAAACTACAAATTCAAATTTCTTTTTGTTACACATACATATTCGATGTAATTATTATTAATATTCAAACTTATTCTTGGAACATAAAAAATGAAAAAGAAATTAATATCGAGGTTCCATACCCAAAGTATAGCTACAAATTCAAAGTTCTTTTTGCTGTACGAAAATACTCGATATAATTATTATTCATATTCAAACTTAAATAAATTAAATTAATTAATAAATTAAAATGATAAATTAATTTTTCGATCCTTGTTTCTGTTTTATTTAATATGAATATACTAAATATAAAAAAAGAAAAGTAAAATTCTTTATTTCTGCAATTAAATAGTACGTTCTATTTAATGAAAAAAAACTTGAAATAGAGACTAATAAATGAAAGAAAAAATAATAAATAAAAGCAATATTTCGTTCGTAAGGATTTTGTAACGAAGAAAACGCATATTATCTAGCAGATACATGATTGTTCCATGGAAATTAATTGAAATCACGCGAGAGGAAAGAATGGGCGCCGGATAGCTATCATGAAATCATCCCCTAAACGAGATTACTGTTCAGAGCTGTGGTGCAAGTTTGCGGAACATTCCACGCCTGGCATCTAGCCAAGCACGCGAAGGCATATCACATTTTTTTTTTTAACGAGCCCAGATAATGCTCTCTTGCTCGTAAATGCGACCTCAAGTTGACTGTACAAACGAGTTCAACTGTCAGAATACAATGCCAAGGTAAATTGCATCCTTAAGGATACCCTTATTAACCAACTGTTCGAAAGTACATTGTAACACACAATTAAGCAATGTTATCGTTACTTTATGAATCGAGACGGATTTATTTCACAGTAAATACGGATTAAATTTTTGAGTAAAATTTACCAATTGATAAAGATGGTTACCTATAGTAGTTTTGTGGATTTTTTAAAAGTTCTGAGAAGGGCTTTAAATAAATCCTAGCAAGAATTAAATGTTACAAAAAAAAGTTCTATAAACTCTATATCTAACAAAAAAAGAAATGGAATTTTATTAAATGCATGGTTAAATTACATTAAAAGCGATTGAAAGTATTGTATTTCTTGTCTGGTTCTATTTAACAGTTTTGTAGATTTTCTAATATACATATATTCATTATTTTTTTAAAGTTCTGAAAAAGGTTTTAAATAAATTCGAGAGAGAATTAAATTTTACACAAAAAAATTTCAACAAACTCTATCTATAATAAAAAAAGAAATGAAATTTTATTAAATGCATGGTTAAATCACATTAAAAGCGAGGGAAAGTATTGTGTTTTTAGTAGTTTTGTGGATTTTCTAATATATATCCGTTATTTTCTAAAAGTCCCGAAACAGATTTTAAATAAATCCTAGAGAGAATTAAATATTACGTAAAAAAAGTTTGATAAACGTTCCCTCTAACTCTAATGAAGAAAGAAATGAAATCTTATTAAATGCACAGTTAAATCACGTAGAAAGCATTGCGTTTTATTCGTCTGGATTAATTTTTATCGCGTCTGGGTTGCAATATCCAGTAACGTAGTATCTACGAAAAAGAAATCTTCTCTTTTTCCGAGATATTAAAGCGTTTCCACCTTACACTCCGTGAAAGACGATACTTGGCAATATGCTCTGACAGGAATGCCGTTTTAATACTACAATTCAAAAGATGTAACCTTTCAAAGTAGCAGTTCGTAAAAATAAATACATTTTATAGAATTCATGTGGCAAATAAATTAATATTCTACTGTTCCATGGCTTCTGACAATTGATCCCTGACTACAGTCGTGCAAATAAAAAATATTCCCAAGAACAACAACATTTTCATTCTCATCATTCAAACGTTGTAACCTTTCGAAATAGCATTTCGTAAAAATAAATACATTTTATACAATTTATGTGGCAAATAAATTATTATTCCTTACTCTCATACATCATCTATTATTTAAATAATATTCTACTGTTTCATGGCTTCTGACAATGGATTCCTGACTACCGTCGTGCAAATAAAAAATATTACCAAAAACGACAAAATATGATTCATTTAACAGACTAGGTGAGAATATAAATATTATAATATCGAAGCTTGACTCAACCACCTTATACAGGGTGTTCGGCCACCCCTGGGAAAAATTTTAATGGAAGATTCTAGAGGCCAAACTAAGACGAAAATCAAGAATACCAATTTGTTGATGGAGGCTTTGTTAAAAAATTATTAACGTTTAAAGTTCCGCCCGTTCTGAATTTTTTTCTCGAAAATGCGTAGGATTTCAGGAGTATGTCTGTTCACCAAAAATGATTGTATTTGACCCCCGCAACCGAAAATAATTTTTCCACGACGATTTGAAATTTTTTTTTTTCCATCGAAAAATTTAGGAATTTAATTAGATTTTCGGTAAGGAATTTTTTTCTCGAAAGTGCGTAGGATTTCGGGGATATGTGTAATGACCAAAAATTATTGTGATTGACCCCCGCAACCGAGAATAATTTTTCCAAAACGATTTGAAATTTTTTAATTTAATTGTTAATAACTTTTTAACGAAGCCTCCATCAACAAATTGGTATTCTTGATTTCCGTCTTATTTTGGCCTCTAAAACCTCCCATTTAAATTTTTTTCCAGGGGTGGCTGAACACCCTGTATATTTCACTCGTTTTTCACGATGGAAAGAAAGGTCAGATGGGGAATGTTATTTATTTGAAAAAGGTAAATTTTTGATCAATTGTATGAATCAAATGAATCGAATTAGGGACTAAATAAACTATCCAAATGCCCACGGTTCGTAGTACTACACTTAACAATTATTTTCAACGAAGGAATTGTAACGAGCGCGCGAAAGGATATCGACAACTGGTGCAATCTAACGCGAGTAAGTGTATCCGAACAATAGATTATCTGTCTCGAAAAGTTTGAGTGCTTTGAAAGCTACTTCGGTGGTCTTAAGGACAATTCTATGTTTTACGACTAAGAAGCTTTATTCACCCTTCCGCACTGTCGCATTTTATGTCAACCAACGTAAATACCTACCCGGGCCACATTTCCGCTCTTGACGAAAACGTTTACGCTCTCGAAACTGCGCGCCGTGCCTACGATTCCTTGCGCGGTACTCTTATTTTAGTGCTTTCTCGTTCGACGGAGAAAAGACAGGCTGTTTACTATAAAATTCGAGCAAATGTGCCACCCACGGTTAAACGGAAACGCGATATTTGTCGTAACTGCGACCGAGATTTAGGAATGTTAAACTATTTTATAGAGACTTTTATCACGGAAATGTGCCAGGAAATGGTTAATGAATAAAAATTAACACGAACTGCGGGGAACACTAAAAAGTAAATTGTAAAACCAAGTCCTTAAAAGTGCTTAAACCCAATGTCTAAAATTAAGAAAACTATCACAACTGATACACGTAAAAGCAATATTTTATTGGAAATTCCATTCCCAATGGGATCACTTTATCATTATCAATAACAAATAAATTTCTAACTTCTTAGAAATTTAATTTTAAAAGTATTTTTCTTTTTTCTTTGTACGACATTTGCAAAATAATTTTATATAATTGTGAATCGATTTGTTTCAGCGAGCACGAATCTGGTGGGGAAATTTACACAAAGTGTTCGGAGAATCGTCCAGGACGTAAAGGATGAAGGAACTTCAAGTAAGTCTTCGTTAAATATTGCATAATTTAGGGAGAATTACAGAGTACATTTTGAACAAGTATACATAATCTATTTCCATGTACCGATGGCTCATTTTCTAAGATTATAATTCATACTACGAACTAAATATGCAAAAACGGTGCACACAAAGTCCTGTCTGTGACTATTTTCCCATTACTTTAACACGAATCGTAAAATTTCACAATTCCGTTTCTATTGGAACAAATCTGTGATTCTAGGCTACATGGATCCTAAACTATTTTTGTTTGGACATTCATATCTTTTCAATGCTTTACTAAAGAAAGAAATACTCTTCAGTGTATTGATATTGGTATAAAATGTTAAATGCTTCCTGGAATATTTAAAGAATAGGCAAAGCTGAGTTAATGAAAATCTTAGACTATTCTACTCTTCCCATGCGTTTTATACCCCACATACAGGCGCTATTAGTCACGCTACATTAATGAAGTTACTCTCTACGAAAGGTTTGCGATCGTTTGAAGTCCCAATAGTACTTCCGACGCATCGTTATGTTCATTGACCGAGTGTAAGAGCTTCTGCTTCAATTCCATTCATGAAGCTAACGACCCACTAGCTGGCACATAGCCAATAGCTTATTTCTAACAGTTGGCGCGACCATATTCCTCCTAATTCTCTGGTATTACAGTTCCACAAACAAGTACGAGCTCCTGGGATTCGACAGTTAAGATAACAGTATAAGGGATGCAATTTACACAAAAACTACCAATAGTTCTCAAGATAAACTTTTCGTAAATGGGAACGTTCATGTAATTTTTGACGTTGAATCGATAGATGTACAAATAAATTTGGAAATGCAGCTTCTTCATCGTTTTTGAAAATAAATTTATAACAATTGGACAACGTGGACTGTATTTTTCCCGCAGGATGTTGTTTTTGGAGCTATTCACCAATATTAGAATTCAAGCTCTCGTTAAACTTTTGTGCGAATCCATTTTTCATATCTTTTTAAAAGCTCATTCGATGTTCTCGAAGAAGAGGAATTTTTGCCAACAATTTATACAGCCCTGGGGCTCTGACAATATTTTATACGCTCGACACTTTAAGAAAATGTAAACAAAATATTAGATTTTCCAAAAAAAAACCAGGGTTGGCATCCCCTCTTGAATGTTTAATTTTATTCAAGACGTACGAACATTTATAATGTGCAGTAGAACCTCGATTGTTGCAGGATCTGAGAATGTCTAAATTGTTCCAAGTTCCAGCAAGTACAAAAAAAAGAAAAAAAACAAGAGTCCATATTTCGTAAAGCGACTTGGCCTGAGAAATTATTACCACGCCTTGATTAAGGCCCTCCCCTTACATGTAACTTTTACTTGACCAATTTTCTCCTAACTACTATAGTTTCGGAACTAATTAAAGTGCTAATAGTTATAGAAGCACCTTATACACAGAAGTTCCCCCAGAAAGAGAACGGCCGAATGCACATACGAAGCTAAAATTATGATCTGCTTGCAATACATATAAAACATTTGTAAAATACACAAAATATAGTTATACCTTGAAGTGACTGCAAATTGAGTACATTTTAAAGAATAAAAAATAGTGTAATAGAAGATTAGAACTGGTTGCTTGTTCGCCTCAGGTATTTTCTACTGCTCGAAACAGCTAAAAGGAACCATTTATCGGTACTTCAGCCTAATGAACCATATTTCATTTAACACTAAACCTACCAAGGATCGATCAAATGACCGTTTTTTAAATTTCGTTTAGAATTTTTAACATACAATGTTACTTTAGCGCCATTCAATTTCACGACTTTCCTTATAGAGTACGAACAATGAATTTTCTCAATATTCATGACTACTCTTACTGTTTATTTTCTTGTAAAAAAACCGGACAAAATTTGGTATCAAAGGAGAGAATCCTCTATGTGATTGTCATGAGTGAGTGACGTGGTATTTCCAAGAATTTACTACTATTTACTTTCTAAGGAGTTCAATGACCTCGCGACGTAAACAGTGAAACGTAAACAAACGCTTTAAAGTCTTACATCTTCGGAACTAGTCAGGCGATCGACAATTGAAACAAGTTTTTTATTTATGCAGTCTTCTATCTTTATTTTGAAATTTGCTCAGACTCTACGCGCCCAAAGAAGTTTCAGCAATTTCTATTGATCATGCGACTATCGTGCGATAAAACTAGATTATAAATTGTTTACTTGATTAAAAATGAATTGAAATTTGTATACAGGATGTTTGCGCCATTACTATGCCATTTTTTTCGTAAATAATTGCTTTCTCTGGAATTAGTGGAAGTGTCAGTAGGTTTAGTGTTAATTTAAAAAGCATTCAGTCGATGACTAGAATTTATTTGGACACGAAGCATGTATAGAAATTAGCGTAGATCATGTAGACATTTTATACTCTGTAATGAAAAATCTGTTACTTACCATCTTATTTTCTTATGTAGAATCACTGCACGAAACTGTTTAAATCAATGATTATGGTCAGTCGACTGTGTCCTTCCCTTGTTTCCAGTTTCTGTAACAATACAGAATAATAACGTTAAACAATAATGTTTTGTGATTCCCTGATTATATAAGAAATTAGTCTACACAGGACATGGGACTCGATTATAATTGTTATTGTCATTTCTGTTGTTTCAGGTGGGCAAACTAAGGAAGAGGTCATTGAAACAAACGAAAGACTCAGAATCGTAAGGATACGCCTGGATGGAAGTTATGAAATCGCTAAACGTGCCCTCGTTGAGCTTATGTGCAAATATACTGACAGCAAACAAGTCCGCAATGTGTTTCAACGTTACAACCTTCTAAAACTTATGATTAAGGTAATTATTATTTCATAAACAAATAATTTCAAGACAAAATATTTCACAACTCTTCCGCCTAATTGGTACTATTATTTAATTTGTTTTTTGCTTCCTTCTAGTACACCTAAGATTAGTATACTTTTTTCCAACATTACTGTTATATATTGTTATACTATAAATCAATTTTTCCTAGCACACCTTCCTTCTTTAAATAAAATATGATACATTTTTGGAAGTTTGCATAATACTTTTAATAACAAGTGATATTTACTCAGAAAATATTTTCATATTTTAAATTAGATGTTTCAATATAAGGGAAACTATCGTTTGCTGGGGAAAAAACGGAATGCGTGGTTATGAATAGTAAGAGAATTGAATTATAGTAAATACGTTATACGTTGATAAATATACTAAATAGTAATACGCTGAAAATAGTAAATTTCGATAGTTGGGATTCTTTTGCAAAATGTTTCACTAGGTATCAAAAGGGGAAAAATTATTAAATAGAAAATGTGGTATAACAGGTTGTTTTCATGTTAATATCCAAAGAGCTAATTGTAAGTAATGATCATGGCTGTCACAATAAAAGAAAACACGAAACAAAAATCTATATCGCTTATGCGTCGATGTGTAAAACGAGGCTGTCAAATGTTCGATAGAATTTTATTGTAAAAATTGATAAACAATCACAAACACGTGGACACGATTTCAACATTTAGTAACATAAATTCCAACTTTGAACTTATTGGTTCTAACGTGTTTGAACCCTAGATCCTACTTCTTTCAGCAAATATGTTTCCTCGTATTCCTTTAAGAATTTAAAATATGGAAAACGTTTTCAAATTGAATATCATTTTTTATCGAAAATTTATATAACATTTCCATTATTGATGCATCTTGGTGATCTCTGATGAAAATCATCTTTTTCTTAATCGAAGGATATCAATACCCTTTATTCTATCTAGATGAATATAGAAATTAGATTCTTATCTAAATTAGATAAAAACGATTATTTTAACACTAGATTTACGGAAGCCGTCAATTTGACGGATGTCTGATTCCATATTTAAAATTGAAGAACGCGTAAATATTATTTTTTAACAACTTGTGTTGAATTTGATCGATTCAATGGCACGAATACATATTCTAATTAAAAGAAAAATCGTATTGTAAGGTAATCGTCAACATGAAAGGTATCAATAAATATACGTGCGATCAATGCCCGTAAATCTAGTGTTAATTCGTTTCTGAAACACACATTTTGTTTTTCCTTAACCATTCGATCATTGGGACACATAATCCAGTACTTTTGAACGGTACCTGCGCATAAACGTTTGCATGAAATAATAAATTTTATTGCGACTTTGTCACCGTGGACTGCATACGGACGAAAATACACGTGGGAAGATATCAAAGAATTGTTTCTGATCTGATGCGTCCACGGTTGCCCCGGAGACAAAGAGCAGTAAAACCTTATTGGTCTTCTTCCCCTCATCTGGTCGCTAAATTCTCTACCCTCGGGTGATTTCACGCTCAGAAATTCAAAGTCGATTCCTCTCGATGTTGTAGGGCTGTACAGAAGTTTAGAAAAACCTAGCACCTTCAACTTTATCGCGCTAAAAAACGAGAAACAAATTAAGAAAGGAAAGATACCTTCGTCTCGAATCGATATAAAACGCGCGTGGATAGCAATAACGGTAACAATGCGGCGTGAATATGAATAAAACAAACAACAGAAGTGTAATTTAAAAATAATCGAAACCTGAAACGTACCTTTTTTAATTGGAATAGCTATTTTTGTGGAAGGATATTTAGAAAATAATTAAAAGCTTCGTTAATTGCATTATTTGAATTTAATTTCTAATAACAAAATCTAATAACGTTCTGGGCATTGTTTAGCGGCGCGTACGCGTTATTGAACAAAGAACCTCCAGATTCGGCGATAATATAACCAAATTACCATAACCTACTGATTATTCAAATTCAATTTTGAATAAGATACATATTTGCATAGTAAAATGTATTTGAATAATACGGGCTGGGCCGATAACTTTGACCAGCCTGCGTGCCACTATTGTTTTTAGAGATATAGAAAAACTTTATTCGCTGAATGTTATAAACAATATAATTAAAATGATAGTTAGAAGCTCTGGATTAAATTGTAAATGGAATGGATTTCGTGTAAAATCGATTTACCTATTACTCTGCGCGCCAATTTGAAAAGTGTAGACCCGAATGAAACGTGTTTAAAGTTTCTGATGAAATTTCGCAACAGTTACAGCTGAAAAATCGATCTGAATATTTACTATTCCTGAACCGTAAAGCAATCCTTTCTTTTCCTCGAAGAGGATTTACTGGGTAGTATTCTCCATTTTATGGGCCTTACCAGCATCTTTACTTCTCTCTGGATCGTGACGCTCCATTCTCACTGGCAGTTTCTTATATTTATTATAGGAATCGACAAATACTTTACGTCACTAAGAAGTAAAATTGAAAATAAATTTTGGTTGCATACGGTTGATGATGTGACAACAAAGAAACCGTGATTCGCTGAACCAAAACATAAGAGACTATACGAGACACCAATCTAGTTAGGAACTCTAATTCTTGTTATTTTATAGTGTAAAAATATTATTTTCTTCTACAGACGCCGATCGAATTATCAAATCAATCTCGTCAAGAACTCTAATTCTCTAACAGTGTAGAAATATTATTTTATTTTCTTATTTTCGATGATTTAACCAGAATCCACAATCCCTCGATGCCCAACTTTTCCATCCAAACAAGAACCAACTACAACAGTTTTTTAAATGCAGTGAAGTCGTAAATAAAATCAGCTGCCTCGAAGCTTTCAAATTTTGTCCACTTAGATAGTCCTTGTTATCCCGAACAAATTAAAAACAAATCCTAAAGAATCGAACCGGTTACACTGAAGTTTCTCCTTAACCTTTTGTCTGCGGCGTGTCCTAGGAAGAATCCATCAACATAGATGGCGCCATCGTCACATGCCTTGTGACCAAAAAAGTACCCGGAGATTTAAGAGACCATTCTTACGGTTTAAAAAAATAATAAATGCAAATGAATTAAAATATCCAATTTTTATCCAATTCCATATCGAATCAATTGGTAAAACAGTAAAAGGTGTTATAGTAAAAAAATGCAGAGGGCGTGAATTTACGCTTTTCGTATTGATGGATACGTGAGGGCGTATATTTACGTCTTTCGTATATATTGATAGACTTGTGAAAGCGTATATGAGCCGTTTGTTTTGAAAGTGGCGTAAGTCCATTTATGTTCAAATCGAGATATTGAAGGGTTTATTGCATAATATTTTCCATATCCATTTGAAACTCTCACATTGGGACTTACGCCACTTTCAAAATAAACTTTTTCATCGCTTCATTAACCAGCAAATTTTCGTGTTACAAAATCTTAATGATTTTAAATATATTAGTAACAAGTTGCTTCAGAATGAAAAGATCATGTAAAAATGTAACTATTAAGGTAGCTGACTCGATTTTTTTGGAAAATGGACTTACGACACTTTCAAAATAAACGGCTCGTATACGCCTTTAGCAGTCAAAGGGTTAAGGAAGTGTACAAAGAACACGAGTATCTCGACAAGCCATGAACAGGTTCTCGAACTTGAGATTAAAGTAGAACCAGATTTGGGTTCCGTAGCGAGAAGCAAACCCACTCGCGAGATAAATTTTCGATCGGTCGAGGCGAGCTGGAGCTTTCCCGGCTAAAAACAGTGGATTTCTCGGCGGAGAACTCGTTTCATGGAGAGTGTCACTGCGGATGAAAATATCGGTTGGCCGAAGGTAGCCAACCGTCTAATTCCTCCTTTGCTCTATCCCCGTAACCGTTCTTTTTCCACGGGTTCCGCTATGCGTGTATGTAGCGTGTCTGCGGTTTTACCTTTCCAGGACGTGATTAAGTTAGAGACTCAATACTGGACGCTGGTAGATATACCGAAGCAGGAAAAACAGGAAACGGTGCCCGCCTTTGTCCTGCGCGCGTGCTCCATCATGGAAAAGACCCACAAAAGCGGGGAGGGCGTAAAAACGTCGGCTCGACTGGCCGAGGAAGCGGAGACGAAACGTGAACGCATCGACAGACTCGAAAGTAAGCAGAAATTACAATAGAAATTACGTCGATTAATTATGGACGCGTGTGCAAGGGATACTTGTCATTCAACGATATTAACCCTTTCCACTCCTATGTCGAGTGTGACATCAATTTTTTATCTCAGGAGCTCCTTCGTCAAGTCCAACTCGACATTTTTTCAAGTCCAAACCAAACAGATATCATACACTTGAAAATTACAAAATACAACAACAGTGTAAATAAAACACTTATTTGAACAGGTAAATTTCAAATAAAACACTTAAGAGCATTGGCAGCCGCTGGTAACAAAATTGGAATATAATTCGGAGTGCAAAGGGTTAATTATCGAACTAGGTACGAACGTTACTTCTTTTGATGTTCTCCACTTAGGGGTGTGCGGGATTCCCGAAAATATTCGGGATTTTGAAATTCTTGGGAATCCCCAATGGCTTCGGAATCCTGAAAATTCGCGGGAATTACGGATGTTTTCGGGATTCCACGATCTCGAGAAAAATTCTCATCCCGATCGAGATCTCGCACACCCCTATTTACACTGCTTGGCCAATATTACAGGTCCGCTTCATTTTTGTCTCGTTTATCCTGACTCTTACAGCTATTGTTTTTTTTTCTTTTTGCAGTATTACGTAAATATACACGAAAAATAATTTTGCAATACTCACCTGACAATAATCGAGTCAAAAATGAAACTTATAATATTGGCCAGCAGTGTAGAACGAGTTCCTTCTTTACTGATACGTGGAAAGAAACTTCGACTCGCTTCCTTCAAGAAACGTGAATAAAATTACGTGGAAATAAATTCTGCACGACATAAGCAAGAGTATATAAACGTTATATGTAAATAGAATGAAATACAATTTAAAGGACGAGATATAATCTAACAAGTTTTCAATACTCGAGGGAATGTTTCATCTTTCAGGTTTGAAACTGAACACAGAGAAAGAGAGATACGAGTCTTTTGAAGTTTAACGTTTAACGATATAGTTCAAAGAGGAAAAACTTGACATTATATTTGTAACATTATGTTACAATGTATATCAAAATTTAGATAAATATATATTTCATCTGATTGGTTGTATATGTATGTGTATTCACCAAAACGAAGTCACAAAATCAGAGGTCACAGACTTCCCAATAAATTAATTTCATAAAGTTACAGTAATCAGTATTATTTTTGCACGATGTTATTTTTCTAACAATTATGTTAGATACTTTGTTTTTAAATGCATAAATATTGCTATTGTTACTAATGTATCACTGTTGAAACTGTACGTGGTGAATAAAATCTATGATTCTGTTTTTTTTCATAACAGATGAAAAGCATTCAAACATCAAAAGTAAAACGCGAACAAATATACAAGCTCTATGAACGAACAGTTTTCTTTCGTATAAATTATACGGAGCAGACGTGAACTCGATAGATGCCTTGTAGCTTGGAAACTTTCCAAGCATGAATAATATATTATCTTCTATCATACGTGCTCGATGGAGGCAAGAAGAGATCGGTTATTGTATTATAGCGCAGCTGTCACTTAATATTATTCCGCGCTTCCGAAATATGTATTCTAATAGGAAAGTCGACATTTCGATGAAAATATCGATGAATATTTCCTTCCACGTGTTATTAATAATAACGTATTCGACGAAGCGTTATACAGGGTGTTCGGTCACTGGGAAAAAATTTAATGGGTGATCTCTGGAGGTAAAAATAAAACGAAAATCAAGAATACCAATTTGTTGATGAAGGCTTCGTTAAAAAGTTATTAACAATTAAATTCAAAAATTTCAAATCGTTTTGGAAAAATTATTTTCGGTCGTGGGGATCGATTACAATCAATTTTGGTCATTACACATACCCCCGAAATTCTACCCATTTTCTAGAAAAAAATTCAAGAAGGTGTGAAATTTTTCGACGGGAAAAAAAAATTTCAAATCGTTTTGGAAAAATTATTTTCGGTCGTGGGGATCGATTACAATCAATTTTGGTCATTACACATACCCCCGAAATTCTACCCACTTTCTAGAAAAAAATTCAAGAAGGTGTGAAATTTTTCGACGGGAAAAAAAAATTTCAAATCGTTTTGGAAAAATTATTTTCGGTCGTGGGGATCGATTACAATCAATTTTGGTCATTACACATACCCCCGAAATTCTACCCACTTTCTAGAAAAAAATTCAAGAAGGTGTGAAATTTTTCGACGGGAAAAAAAAATTTCAAATCGTTTTGGAAAAATTATTTTCGGTCGTGGGGATCGATTACAATCATTTTTGGTGAATAGACATACCCTCGAAATTCTACCCATTTTCTAGAAAAGAATTCTTTACCGAAAATATACTGTCTGACCGGAAATATTTCTATAACTTTATAATGAAGCCTCAATCAACAAATTAGTATCCTTGATTTTCGTCTTATTTTGGCCTCTAGAATCTCCCAGAAACAATTTTGTGGCTCGAAATTATTATGTAATGTAAAAGTAATTTTAAATTTAATTTCGTAATATAAAATGTCTATACATTTAAAATAGAAAGAAAATTGGTTATTCTTTATTTTATTCTTCAAACTTGCCGATATGCTACCTCCTTTTCATTTATTATATCATTTAACACTTTAATAACATTATTATACGAAAATGATTTTACTGGAAACTCAATCGTAAATAAAAAGTAGCTCAAGTTGGACAGAACATTTCCCAATTCATTTTCGTTTTTGAATAGAATTTGTCAAGTTTAATTTCTCATTTCAAAAACATACTTTTCTGAAATATTTAACTAATGTAAGATATTAAAACATTGAAAATGTTGAATACCTTGTGAAGTCGTTTAAGTGAAATAATAACATTGAATTAAAATTAACACGTTTATGTTTCTTTTCGCACATGTAGGTATGACAACGGCCCAAATTGAAGCAGAGAACACGCAAATGACTAACGATTTGTACAGATTACTGAAAAAATATACAGGACTCAGAAATCTCATCCGAGGTTTGAAGGTATTTATACAACCAAGTGCACCAAACACAATTACATTGTTCTTTTATTCCCTCTTTCGATCCCAACAATCCAGTAAACATTCTATGAACCCGTCTTTCAATAAGAAGCATCGACATCGATAAAAGGTTGCTTCAAAACGATTCGTGCATCTCCATTATTCTCTACCTATTCACCGTGTTCGCTTTCATTTCTCCTCTTTTCAATGTCAAGCAAGCTAACCACAAGGTTCTACACCGAGAGATGAAAGAAAAAGTAATCGTTACTTTTGCTGCTCGAGAACTTATGGAGCTCCTTCCCTGTCGATAATGACATTGCCTCAAGCTGAAAATGCTCTTTCGCGCTATCTGGCCCCCGTAAGAGACCAAAATATCGCATTATCGGCTAAGAATTCAAATACTCGATATCCAATAGGATTTTATCTCACGTTTTTTCGGGCAACGAAAGCACCGTGTCAGCTACCGTAAATCCGGGACAAAAGACTATAAAAGAGCTATAACAGACAACCACAGAGAATGAAATATGTGCACAGAGTGTACAAGATTTTTCTGTTATACAAACTTTGCCAGTGTGATCTCAAGTATTAGCAACCTCGTGTGCACCACTTAAATCGATAGAAATTACGTCAAATATATTTTATCCCATCTTAAAAAATTATTTCTCGTGTATATTTCATTTCTAGTGGTCTATTTTGTATAATCGAAACATAATCAAGAATTGTCCAAATTTATACGAACACGGTGCTTCTTGTTTTCTTACAATATTAATGGTCTACTTTGTATAATTGAAACATAATCCAAGAAATGCCAAAATTTATATGGACTAGATGCTTCTTGTTGTGTTCTTACAATATTGATGGTCTACTTTGTATAATTGAAACATAATCCAAGAATTGCCAAAATTTATATGGACTAGATGCTTCTTGTTGTTTTCTTACAATATTGATGGTCCACTTTGTATAATTGACACATAATCTAGAATTGCCATAATTTATACGAACTCGATGCTTCTTGTTTTCTTACAATATTGATGGTCTACTTTGTTTAATTGAAACATAATCAAGAATTGTCAAAATTTATACGAACTCGATGCTTCTTGTTGTTTTCTTACAATATTGATGGTCTACTTTGTATAATTGAAATATAATCAAGTATTGCACATACGAATTCGATGCTTCTTGTTGTTTTCTTACAATATTGAAAAATTCACGAAGTTAAATTGCGTTAAAATAACATTGCGTGTTAGAATTTCGTCGCGGTAGGTTTAGTGTTAAACAATTTTAAATTGTTCTTAAAATAGCTAAAATATTATTCTAGAGTAGAAGATATCTTTATTGAAAGCTGATTTTATATGCTTCACAGCATTTAGTTTCAAAGGCAAGACATTTCCGGTACCTCGATTAAAATTTTAAATAGAACTCATTTAATAGAACTTAGAAATTCATTGTATGTATACTATATGGAAAGTCACGAAGTTAAATTGCGTTAAAATTAACATTGTGTGTTAGAATTTCGTCGTGGTAGGTTCAGTGTTAAACAATTTTAAATTGTTTTTAAAATAGTTAGAATATTATTCTAGAGCTGAGGATTTCTTTATTGAAAGCATTTTTATATACTTATATACTTATAAAATTTTAAATAGAACTTTCTTGTTTGCATAATTGTGACACGGCTAAGGCACGCGTCCAAAGTCGATGTTATTAAAATTACTTTCGCGTAACGAACGCACTGTTTGCTGCAGGAGGAGTACAACAGCTCGAAGGTGTACCCAATTTTTCCTCGTTATCCGATACTAAAGGATATGATAAAGGACATAATGCACAACCCGGACTACATGGAAGTTTGTCACGAAGTGGACCAAGCATAGCGGCCGGACCCCCTCCACCGTTCGCCGCGCATGACTTTGTAAAATTCTATTTACAACAAACGTTCCGCGTGGTAGTTGGTGAAGGGGGTGAACTAGATAAAACGAGCCTCGAGGAGGCAATTATTTCGTACGGTGGATTGATCGCCACAAATTGAGTTTATTTCAAACGCGTCTCCGTATGAACACCCACGCACCTACGTTTATTAATCTCTAATCAAAGCAATTTATAAAAAACGGTTGATTACCCATCCGTCTGTTACATTTACGCTATCATTAATTTCGCTCACTGATCAAATAGTCTGTCATAAAACGAATGAACGTGAAACGACAAAATGGGGGGTAATACTGTCGTAAACAGAGAACCAAATGAGAATTTGGGGGGGGGGATAGAATTCTGTCGGAACATTTATCATTAAGGGAAGACTTTCTTAGGGATCCTTTATATGTTGGAACGAATTTAGTAATATAGTTGTAAATGTACGTCATGTAAAATCTGCTACTTGGTGATTACGCCAAATGCGAAATTTAATTTTCTTTACCGCGTAACGGTAGCTTCGAAGAAATGTAATATTACCGATTATCACTTCTAAATAAGAATTTATAATTGAGAACGAGGATTATGGTTAACGATATTAACATTGCACGTTCGAGGCGAGCCTGCGGAGTTACGGTACCAAAGGCAGTAATTAATGGACTTAAATTTACGAGCACCAAGTGGCGGAGTGGAAAAGTCATTCCAGCATAAACGATACGTAATCGATCTCACCTTAGTTTCTGATTTCGATCGGAATAGCCGCTTGCACGTTGACACACAAAATACATAATTACACCGGCGCGATCCGCGATAGCGCAGCGCGTGGTGTAAAGTTTTTATCGCGACAGCTAACGTCGCTCGTAAACAAGAAGAAAACCTGAAAAACTTTAGATTCGTAAGGCGTATACTGCTCGTTGTGTGAAAATGAAACTACGTTAAGAAACCTAAATACGAAGAACGATATTCCGCTTCCTGCTGAATCGGATTCGCTCGATACGCGACGATCGATATCGATATCGCGAACCTATTATAATAGTTTGTTGCGCGAAGGAGATCTCTCTTTACCTACGAACAGGACAAACTGTAGGAGTCTAGTTAAATATTATATCTATCTTGCACCGAACGCTATTTCACAGACGACAACACTTCTCGCGACACCGAAAAATTTTTGCTTCGACTATACTACGAACTGCTATATATAAAAATCATTAACGATGGATGTTATATGTGATAGTGTAATCGATGTATTAAACGGTGTACGCCATATCGATGTTGTCGAAACAGAAATTACTTGTACCGATCGTTTCAATCTTTCCTTGTTTCTGAAAATTGTTGTCGGCTACAAAACACACGCAGAGGAAAACGACGTAAACGAAACTGAGTTTACCAGTAATATTATCATTCTATTTCTTTCTTCCAAAGTAAATAATTAAGATAAATATGTGTATAGTTTGAAAGTTTTCGATCGATTCGTTTAATTTTATAATCAAAACGTAGAATACGTGTCTGTGTAGACCATTTCTCAAATACACAGTGAAATCGTGAATGTTAGCAGAGTTAAGATTAGTTTAGACTGGATACCTGTATGTAAACATGTTTTTTCTTAGGTTAATGAGAATTAAAAATGTTACGAGGAATATCTTTGTTTCGTAGAGGTAAGCAGTTCACTGATAATGGCCAGGACGAGCTTCGTTCACGTCTGTCGAAAGACTTACACGAGAGTGTGCATTAAACTGCATATCCTCGTATAAAATATACCCACTGTGTATATTGAAACAATAACAGCCATAGGTCGCATATAATGTTATTATATATTAAGACAAAAGTATGAAGGTATACTTGAAATTATATAAGTGTTAATTTGATATAACAGACATATCGAAATTGTCGTATTAGCGTACACAGTGTGAACGAAACTATGCATACACACTCGCAAATATACATATCCATACGTATGTAGTTACAGTGTGGAATTTGAATGTGCATTACATTATTCGATCGTTGCAAAATACAATAATTATTACTTAAAACTGCACAAAGATGCAGTTGCACGTATTAAACGTAATGCACAGGATTTCAGTTAAACAAATTAAATATTTGTCAATTTTATGAAAATATCGTTGATCATCACGTTATGTTATTAATTTTGGTGTTCAACGAACACAGAAATTAGGATGTTCTTTTGTCAAATGTCGGTGTGCGTGTAATTCCTTTTTGGGAAAAATGCAGTAATCGTAGCATACAAAGCTAGTAAACTATAGTACATCTTCGAACCTCATTCATACTTTTTGGACACAATTAATCGTAATTCATAACCATAGAAAATTATCGACAATTGAACCACTTGTCGAATAACTAGAATAAAAACAGTGTTTATTTTTTCCTTATTCAAACAGCGAACAAGATCAAAGTTAAAAATTCTCATTTTTAAAGGTATTTGCCAAATTCTACTTTTCCATTCGATCTCGAAGGTACGATTACGATAACGAAAATTTATACATAGCGGATAATCAGAATTTGGATAAAATATCGAAAATCGAGTATTTATTTTATTGCGCGCCATTGTGATACCGATTTTCATTTCAGACAAAAAACACTCAGCAGCCTTTAAGAATCTATTATGCGTTCTATCGTTAAGATCTAGATATAAAAATAAAAATAATCTACTGCATAAGTATTATATAAAAAAAAAAAATATGGCTGATAGCTCAAAATCAAAATGCAAAGTATAATGCACGACAGACATTGAGGCAACACGAGGATCCACTTTCAATTGTCGATTTGGGCCCCTCTCAATGTGTGACGATGACTAGGAACCCACACACACTGTTTCCTTGTATGTTAAACCAATCTTATACTCCAATCAAAACACATTATGTCGCATACGTGCTGCCTACAGAAAGGCTGGGTACAGGCATACACAGAAATAATAAACGTAGTATATAATATTCAGAAAGTAATTTATACTCTAATAATATACACCGTTAAAATAAAGTAACTGACAACGTGTCAAAATGAGATCAACTTTTTACATTTGAAAATTAAATTCTCCAAATAGAAGGATATTTTTTTAGGAGTGTTCATTTCTATTCCATCGATTATTCGCGATTTATTGTTGTCAAAAGTAATGCGTGCAAAAGAAAATAATAAATGATCGTGAACGTGTGATACGATCGGAAGATAAATAAATAAATCGAAAATATGAAACAAAATTTGTTGATAAAAGCTATCGTTTTCGAGAATCTTACTATATTCTAACCAGTTTGGAGAGGAAATGAAACAAATAGTATCGTATCACTGTCAATATTTACAAACATGAACACAATTAGAAAAAGTGAATAATGGACAGACGCATTAAGTAAAAAAAAGTTGTATTCTACATTTACGATTTATTTTTACATTCCAATTTGACTGTATCATACGTCATCTACCGCTTTGTATATTTTTAACAGCATCAGACTCGAAGAAATAATAATATAAATCAAAATATTATCAGATAATAACGATTTGAAAAAAAATATAGGATGTAAAACCGCGAGAAATACACGTTAAAACTTTTTTGTCTGCATCCAGCAAATCTACATGAAAACACATACTGTACTGACTATTTAGAATAACGCTTGTCATAGATATTCATCTTACTCTATAACGTGTGCATAGAAGAAAATGTACCGTATCTAAACGAGTTTCACAACATAAAGAACGACACTGAAGCTTGATAAATTGCAATTTATTTGTATCGCTCTTGGTGATTTTGTCGTTTTCTTTTAAATAAGAAATTAAACAAGTTTAAAAATAATCAAACATTTGCGCGTGTTATGAATCAAATATTGGAAAATCAAATATCTGTTATCAAATATTGGAAAAAATCAAAATTGTGTCAGAATGGCGACCATTCATTGTACAATGTCGATTTATTGCTCTATTTATAGTATTGACGATACGAAGACCAAAATCAATCTAAATCCTACTAATACATATACATATTATACGTACATAAATTAATCATTACCTTTTTTTTTTTGTTTTTTTAAAAGTTGACTGGTCAAATTCTATTTACAATAATTATACACTCTATAACAAAGATATTTATAATTATCTTGGGGCAATTCGGTCGCAAAGCCACGGTTGGTATTTTTTACGCAAACAAATACCTTTTTAGACCAATTATCCTATAAACGTAAGGCAAATTTAAGGTATAGTGTAAAGTAACCGTATGTCTAGCGAACGAGTAAAGCTATACTCACATGCAATGTCTTTGAATTGATGAATATAGCAAGAGTACTCGTCTTTTTGAAGAAACTAGGCGAGTGCCAAATAGATTTTGAAAGTTTTTACATGTGTGCAAATGTATATGTTAGCGTTATACTAAAGCATATATTTGTGAATGTTTCTGTAACATTTTTATATAGCGTGTTGTATGTAATATTATCAATACAGTTCTATTTTGCTGGATCGATCAATATTTAGGCGTACAAATTATAAGTGATAACGTCAAAAAAGAAACTTTTATTTGTACCCGTTTTAAAAATTAATTTATCCGTTGTACATAATAATACAAAAATTGTCCTCCATTAAATGAAGGAAATTAATAAATCTCGTCAGTTATAAATACGATCTATTGAAAATAAATTATTTTTTGGACGTGTAAAGATCGAGGATCACTCCAGTGAAATGAACTTTTTACTATTTAAAACTAAACGTAATTACGATGAATGTATACAGATATGAGAGATCTACCTAAAGTGTTTAAAAGATGTGCTAGTGCATACTTAATGCTACTTGGAATATCCATGTTAATGTCGTATTGATATGTATAACGTTCAATGGTGCTTTGGTTTCTCGCAAAATATTGTTTAGAGAGATCTTTTAAAATGCGATATTTCTATACAGACGAACACTAACGCGATAAGAATGCACGGTGTAATATTTAGTACGACTGAAGGGGTGGTTCAAGGTAACAAAATGAATTGAAAATGTTAAACGAAATTTTCTGTGACTATAGTCGAGTCTTAGAAAAAAATTTTACAAACGAAAGTGTACGATTTTCATCTTTCCTGGTTACACGAATGTTTGCAGTTAATTTATATCAAAATTTTAATTTCGTAAGATGAAATAAGATTCTCTTTTATATAAAATAATATTTGTTTCGGAACTGCGCCAACTTATTAATTTTCTATATTTCATAAGTATGTAGAAGTTTGATAAATACGCGATGTATAGAAAAGAGAAATCGAAAATGTCTTTTACCATTTTGAAATGGTTTTGTTTCGAAGATATATGCGATAAAACTTTTCGCGCATGTTTACGTCAGAAACACGTGCGTATATGCGCAGTCTATATACGCAGTCAGCTCGACGAAACGTCAAATTGCAAAATGACAGAGGAAACTTCGAAATAATGGAATATTCTGTTTGACATGTTCGACTCATTTTTTCGCACGATTACCACCACTGTAAAAGTTACGAAACTTTCTCTCGAGCCTAACGATAATAAAATTTGTACGAACAAATTGAAAAATCCGTTTACTTTGGGATACGTTTTTAGAAAAATCGACCCAACAATTGAAAGTTTGTGCTCTCGTTTGATACGCTCTTTGCAGGTCGAAACAAAGAATTTGTGATCGAAGCGACGCGTAAAGATCGATTATGAAATCAAAGGACCATTACCCGCTGATTGCATATGCGTAAGTGTACAATAATAATGTTAATCGGCCGCCTAAACAAACGTATAGCTTTCTGTGAGAAACTTAAATTTCGGATCATCGTCTCGCGCTCTTGGTAAGTGTGTGGTGTTCTGACTCCACCAATGAAAAAGTCGACCAATTTACGTGTCTATGCATAACCAACTAATTGTACGCTCCTCGGCGCATGTATCGTCTCCGTGTCTAAACGATTTTCTTCTAAGTCAGATATACATATTCGCTTTATAACGATAAGCTTTTGGGTGCATATCGATAAGTTACATAGATGTAAATTTTTACGGAGAAAAAAAAAATAATATATATATACATATATTTTGAAAGAAACTTCGCGAGGAAGTTCGCGAATACTTGAAGATCTTCACCGAGACTGTTCGTTTGTTGCATGATTTGCAAGGGGGAGAAAAAAAAACATTCGAACGGCTGTTTTGAAGAAGAGAAAACAGTTTCGTGATATACATTTAACGTCGTATCTCCCCATAAATGGTTTATGATATCTTCGTGATATTTTCTGATGCACCAGGCAATATAATATATGACGGCGTATCGAACTGTTTTGGACGTTTTTAATCTCGCCGTGGAAACGATTTTCACGCGCTCGTAACGTGAGATTATTGTCCATGGTAAAGAAACAAGAGATAGAATTTTCTAATTTCATAACGGTTAGTGCGAGATTCTAGATCCTTCGTTTTCGTGATCGTGATTACAGTATATACACGCCATATTGTCCCAGAGAAATTGATTTTCACTTACTATTATTGTAACAGCTTATGGTGAGAAGTCTCTAGATATCGTTAGTGCAGCTAGCTTCGTGTGAAACGTTCGTTGTAAAACATTGACCATAGCACATCAAACGAAACGATATGTTACGTGAAACTATACCGTACGATTTATCTTTCACAAGTACAACCGCGTAATCTATACGGTAAATGAATATCGAAGTATAGATTCAAAGGGTTGCGTGTGAACGTTTTGAAATCGTCGAACGATACAGAAACGATCGGAGGAGTATTAATTGTTCCGCAAATGCTTTTCAAACCTCGATCGTCGGTACCATTAATTGATAGTTCGTGTAGAATTTATAACATGCATATAGTCGCATATGATAACAAAAGAGATAAACTGTTGTGATGTTTGTATGTCCGTTACGGTAGAGCTGCGAAATCGAATTAGTTTAGGAACACGTTACTGTACAGTTATATTGTAATCGTGTGTGGTATTTGTTCAAATTTTCATTATCCCGTACCGCATGATTTCCACAACGTCGAAAGTCGAGGAACCAAGCATCGAAATGCAAGTAGTTCTCGACGTTTCCTTAAACCGATTTTCCTTCGATCGAAAAATTTTGCGTTCGAAGAGGGTGAGAAACGAAAAGGATCCACCTGTAGGCATTACGTTAGGTGATCAAGTTGTTTCGTATTTTAGAAGTTTACGACTTTAATACACGTGAACGCTACACTGTATGCAAACAGTATTTATAGAGGGAAGCTTGAAAGATCTGTCCTGAGTGGGTGGACCTTTTCTAATGGGATATATTCGCCAGAATGTTCAACACCGCCTTTATAGCGTCTATGACTAAGCGAACAAATTTGTAAACAGTATCATCTATTGGCCGATGTACATATCATCTTGTCACACATACACGCGTCTACTTCGGCTCTTTCCTGAAAGGCAACTACTAGATACACACAGGTATATCGCTTAGGACACTCGTGCTCCCATCTATACTATCACTCGCCAAAAAGAAAACCATCGATGTCCTAACTGTTTCGTGTTCAGCTAATGTTTTTGATGTTTTAATAATTGCATCGTTAAAGTAACGGAATCTTAACGACCATGTTGCTGAAATCCAACGTTTTGTTTCATAACTTTGTAATTATTTCCCGTAACGAGTTCAGTTTCGTTCGATTGAGAGTTTTTGGAAAAACAGACGCGCCATTTTATTTCATAAACACGTGACTAACAAATAAATCTTATCAATTGGATTTCAATCAAAGTGTTTTATATTTCCTATTAGTACTCGTTATTTTTTAAGCATTAATGTTATGGACGAATCTAATCGCGACGTTCAGTTTCTTGCGTGAAAATTGCATTTAAACGGCAACAGGCGCGTTAAGATTCCTTGAAAGAAAAGTAGAAAATAGAAGACAAATTATGTAATGTCGATGTAAGTAATTAGTTTGCAAGTCGTGTTACTAGTTAACAGATGAACGTGACGTATGTTAGTAAGCAAGGAAAATGTTACAAGGAAAATGTGTGTTTGTAATCGCGTTCCTTAAACAGACTGCATAGTTTACATAGTAACGCGTTTATGTATGAACGGTGTTCATTAGTAAATGACTAGCCACTAGATATCATGCTAGATTAGAAAAAAAAAACTAAACGTACGCTAGATGTTATAGTATCGTACTAGTATTTACACCCTTCCATTTACGCATTCTATGTTTCCTGATGGAAGATAACAAGTAGTTATGTGTACATGCTAGATTAGTATAAATATTAGACTTTAGTCCACTGATTTGAACACAAATTTATGCTACGATGTATATTGAATGTATGACTTTAATTTTGTCTAATACATCTTTGTTACCGCTAAAAATACTTTACTTGTTTATTGGTTGTTAAGCTTTGTTAATAAAACATTAAAAAATTTTGAAAGATTCTTTGCTAAATTTTATTAAACCTATCGAATCCTAGAGAAATTTACATCTTACGAATAATATATTTCGCAATTCAGTCAATCGTTTTGTACGAGCACAGAAAATTTACGTGCCTGTTGGTTTTATAAATGTTTGTACGCTGATTTTATTTGAAATTTTACTTAACCGTGGTAAAATAAACCTGTACAATTATAGCCAGTGATATTTACAACAGACTCATCGAATAAATAGACAGCAACAATTACTCTGATCATACGCTAATAGGCGGCACCACTATTAATATGGAAGTTAGTAACCATCAAGATGGCTGCTACAAACTCGAGTATATCCAGTGATAATCCAACAAAGAAAGAGGACGAATTCAATGAATTTTATTCAGAAGTATGTAAACATTGGAACTAAGATCGTGCTATTATAATATTTTCCCGCGAGCAATTTATTTTTCAATATAATTCTTGATTATATAACCGTAAACACGCATACCTCGTTTTGAGGGTTAACAAACGTCAATTTATATGTACCGAATAAAAACAATAAATAGACTTTTAAGACGATGTGCATGTCGCAGCTGTCTTTTTATTGAATAAATAATACCTATTATCGTTCGAGAATTGCAAATAAAATTGTTTCTGTGGTAAAAGTTTTAGTTAGAAATAAGTTTAACCTATACGAATGTACGCGCGCTCCAAACAAATAGTTGTTTTCCTGAACTTTAGGGAATGCTGCTTTTGTTTAGGTGAAAGAAATAGAAAAAAGGGATTCAGTATTAACTCCTAAACAGCAGATCGACAGATTACTTCGGCCTGGATCATCTTACTTTAATTTAAATCCTTTTGAAGTGTTACAAATTGATCCTACTACCTCTATAGATGAAACTAAAAAGAAATATCGACGTGTAAGTTAACAATCCTGTTTATCTCTTGTTGTCGTGCACATTTTAGGATATATGATACTAAATTACTTTCACAGATGTCAATTCTTGTTCATCCTGATAAAAATCAAGATGATGCAGAACGTGCGCAACAGGCGTTTGAAAGTATGTATTAATTTTCTGTATATACAGTGACAAATTTTTAACGTTATTTCATTGTTTGCAGTTGTTAATAAGGCATGGAAAACATTGGAGAATGAAGAAACTAGAGCAAAATGTATGGATGTCATCGAAGAAGCCAAAGCTCGTACAGATCATATGGTATATATAATAAAATAAAACCTTTAATTGCTTCATAGAAACATGCATAATGTTAACAAATTTATTAGATCGCAGAGAAGAAAAAGAAACTTAAAAAAGAAGGAAAAGCTGAGGGGACAACTATGCTTGAAGAAGAAACGGAAGAAGGTTATAGACATGCCGTTTGGGTTATGACAATGAAACTTTTTGCTGATATGGAGCGAAGAAGGTTTGTAATCATTTGAATTATAAAAATTATCAATACGCAAGATATCTGTGTACTTGTGATTACTAATATTCATTTTCTTTGTATAGGAGAGAGTTAGCTACTAGAGACGCTGAGCAACGTAAAAGGAAACGAGAAGAAGAATTATCTGCAGAAGCCCAAGCAGCGTTAGAACGTGAGTGGCAAAAAAATTTTGAAGAGTCACGACAATCAAGAGTTGATAGTTGGAAAGCTTTTCAGTCTGGTTCTAGTGCTACAAAACAAAAGAAGGCAAAGAAATTGAAAGCTTTCAGGCCTCCAAAAACGAAAGCTGAATCCCGATAATTAAACAATTCTTGTTCCTGATGCCTAACATAGATTCTTTCAATTGACATGGTGTTTCATATTCCTTGCAAAGTGAAAGTAGTTTGAGTAGCGTGTTCTCACCATGTGACATAAAATTACTAAGTTTGTCAAAACTAATCGGAATTGTTCTCATTTTTAATTAATTTGTTAATTAAAAAGTTGTGATTCAAATCTAGTTGAAAATATGTTAAATCAGGTGTCAAAGTAGAAAATGTGTTATAAACGGAGTGATGAGTAAGTTGAGCAACAAAGTATGAAAATGAATTATGTGTGTATCTTCCAAGAGTAATTGGTATGTTTGTGGAATGTATATGTATGTATGTGTGTGCGTACATAGTTGTGATACATTTACATGGCCTGACTAAGTTAAATCTTAATGTACAATCGTAGCGTGACAAATTATTTCAAAATTATATGAATGCTACTGCTCGATATGTATAAAACTTAAGGCAGTTTACATTTATAGCATTGTTGCATAACAAATGTAATATATAACAAATTTTATGACATACAGGGTGTTTCTTATAAAGTCACCAACATAATTATCTCTAAAATTTGAAGACATCAAAAACTGTTAATATGAAAAATGGTTGTACCAACTAGAATATGCATTCCTCCAAACAAGATATATTCTAAACGTGTCTCAAAATGCTGAAGATAATCGTGTCATTCGCTTTATAAAAATCATCCTGTACATATATATACCTCATATTTTTATCTCAAATGTACAATTAAATGATGTGATGCTTGTATGAAAAAAGGTCAACGTTTATTAGCTTTTCGAATCCTTTCAAACTGCTGTGAAAAGTTTACACATATCGAAACGATAATCGGCCATTGAATGAATACTAATTATATCTTAATATAATAAAATTAAAATATAAAAATATGTTTCCTTGTATAGAACATAACCTTTGTTTATATATTGCACAAAAGAGTTCGATATTATTACGCATGCATGCAAAAAATACGACGATGAAACACTGACTTCGTGACGTAATAATTACTATATTTACGATAAAACTTTACGTCTGTATTTTTACTCACGTAATGCAGATAAAATCCCGATATCTCTTGCACTTTATAACTTATTATTAAGTTATTCATTTTTACAGCACAATCAGTTTTCATTCTTGAACAACGCATTAGTCATATTAGTGTCTAAAACTTTTTTTTTTTTTTTTATTTATTTGTTTAAAGTCGCATCAACCGCTAAGGGTTATTAACGACTCGGAGAATACATTTTTAGAGTTTGTTGTACAATTTGGTCATTTTGAGGTACTGTAATAGATTTTGGGTCGATGTGTTGTTAACGGCCATTTCCGGTAATTTTAAATATACGAATCCTGCAATGTGTATATAAATTTTTTTGATAAATATTTAATTTAAAATTGAAAATATATATATACGTTGTTCTTATTTTATAGAATGTTTTAAATGAAGTGATCTAAATATAATTTAAAATTTTACCGTTGTCAATATAACTTAACAGGCCATGTAGTCATGACATCCGGTGTCCGATACGTATTCGAGTAACAAACGTTACGTCTTAACGTACACTTGGTCCAATTGTAATTTGTAAGGTTATTGTAAGGAGAAAAATTTCTATGGTGTAAGTTTTCTCATTGCAAGTCATTTGGAATAGTGTTATTAACACATGAAAGTCAATGTCGTACAAGCGCCGATAAGAATGAACGTGAGGTATTGTGAGATAAAACTTTTATTAATGATATTAAATAACATGAATGATCGAATGAAACGAAACTGATTTGTAGCGTTTCGTCTTTTTTATAATTCATTGCGAAACAAGAATATCAGCATTCATTTTTATTTCGCGTATTGTCAGTGTGGGTCTTCTTTTTTTTTACGATGCCATAAACTCCGTGAATGTCGATTTGTACATCAGCGTAATATTAATAATTGGTTCACCATTAGGTAATATAGAATAACACATTAAATAATACACACTGGAAAGACGCCTCGTTTATTTATAACACATATATATATACAATTTTAAGCGATAAAAAAAGAATATCTACTCATATTTTTTATTTGTGTATATGGCAATTTTTTATTTTGCTTAGTAGATTAAATTGTAGACATTCTGTGGCAGATAGAATTATTTACAAATTTTTTTAACATTTTTTTTATACCAATTTCAATTATTCATCCATCTGTATGTAATATCAAATGCACGAGCACATCGTAGTATTATTTAATAAAGAAAAGAAATTCATTTTGTATTTATATACTAAAGCATCAACGATCATTGATAATTTGTATTGTTTCTTATTTAGTTCAACCACACATTATTAATGTATTCGTCTTGTATGTTATGACGTCCATAAGATGTAAAATGTAAATATAATGCATATAAAATATCTATTATTTAATAGTTTCACTCAAATTTTATCAGAAACATATTAACATTTATGTGAAAAAATTTTTTAAATACGAATTGTTTAACCATTAATTAACACTCACATCTTTTAGAGGAATAAATTTCGAAAACTATGAGATGCAAATGAGAAATAAAAAACGCGGGAAATTTGAACTACATTCACTGGGCAGACATTAATTATTTCTCTTTGAAAGTAACACGGTATGTCTAACTTTTTACAACTTCTTCGGGCATTTATCGTTAACTTAAAACATGTATGAATGTTCAAATTTATACTACCTTGCATTCTTTTGTTATAAGCGTACAACATTTATGAACTTATAATTGATCATTAATTTCTTTAATGTTGCATTATTCACGTAACTTTATAGTTGGAAAAATAATAAAGTTACATAATATTTTCGACTTTAAAATAAACCTTCGGGAATAGATTTTGAAGTAGTTGAATTTTTTAAATATGTAAAGAAGAAATTTTCGATATTTTTTAATTGATTTCACACAAATCATTAATCAACGTTATGGTTGCAATCAAAAAACGACTAAGGTAATTAATTAATTAAGTCAAAAATTTCATTAATCTGGTAATTTATTACATATTCAGTACGAATAATACAACATTAGAGGTGTTGATGATTAGCTGTTCAAATGTGTAAATTCATAAATTTTCTAAACTTATATGAAAGAAAAGTAGTACAAATTTTTCAAAAATTTGTACGTTTTTCAAGTCTATGACGAATGTATGAAAAAGTTGTAAAATATTTGGACTTCGTGATAAATATATAGTAAAAAGTAATTCGTTTTTTCATACAAAATACCAGCTTCATTCCTAAAAACTATACTCGAACGTCGGGTACCCGATAATATATCCACCCCCCACGCCCCTAGAAATAACGATGCTCCATAATATTTAAACTTTATAACAAGTTATCAATTAAATCTTTCTTAAGTATGTATCATTATGTTTTGAGAGGTAATTTCGGTGTATAGCACAAATTATTGCTGAAACATATTTAAAATATTTAAAATAGATCGAGAAATCGTCTGAATTACCACAATATTATTTCAAACATATTACAATAACATCTAGATAAGATTGGAGGAATATATGTATTAATCGAGGATAACAATAATGAATTGACAATAATAATTATTTATTATAAATCAAAAAATACTTATCATCACAAAATTATTCTAAGGAGCTGTGTAATATTGTGTTTCTTCTTATTCGTATATTAATCGATAATAATAATAACAGTTTATTCTAATAAAACTTTTGCGACTGTATCTTTTCTTTTAGATTTGATTCTCTTTCGATCTACGTATTTATGAAAATGTGTTGTATATTAAAGTAATTAATTTGTACATTTGCTTTATTCTGTGTGCAAAACGAATGTACTAAAAAGCAGTATTAAGTGGAAATATTGCAGTAATATATTTGTAATATTTTCAAAGCAATATTTCTGCAACGTTTCTGCAATATTGGGAATATAACACGCCAATGAAATATCGGTGCATTTATGAAATATGCCATACTGTGTGCAGCGTTGGGAAAATTTTACTCTCGAATAACAAATACAAATTTCCGACTCATTCGAAAACCAACTTTCATTTATGTTTCATTCGTAAATTAGAATCCTTTAGTGAACCTTTTGAATCAACATCCAGGTTAAAATTAGTGTATAAATGAATCTATAATTTTTGTTCGTGAATAAAGTTTGCCCGACTCTGTACAGAAAAGAACAATGCTCTGCAATATTTAATGTTTACGATAAATTATCAACAGAATTTAATAAATACGTACTGTTCATTAATGAAAACGAATTCTGCCACATCTATCCAATATTTTGCATATTATTGTATTTAAAGAACATTACACAAAAATATATCACATAATATTTAATACATTAGAATAAAATGTATATATTACTACGGTGCATAAGTATTTGTACACTTTCGCATTATTGTAAATGCATGAACTTCATTTTAAGTAAGACGCTCTAATATAGGTTTTACTTCCGATCTTATCTTAGATGATCATACAACGTTTGTAAATACCGTACAATAATATTATTTAACATGAATTTGTATAAATAAAAGAGCAATAACTAAAATTGGTTGAAAATCGATCTTATGTTTTCAGCAATGCTTTCAAAGTACACATTCGTATACAGGGTGTTCGGCCACCCATGGGAAAAATTATAATGAGAGATTCTAGAGGCCAAAATAAGACGAAAATCAAGAATACCAATTTGTTGATGGAGGCTTCGTTAGAAAGTTATTGACAATTAAATTCAAAAATTTCAAATCGTTCTGGAAAAATTATTTTCGGTTGCGGGGGTCAATTACAATCATTTTTGGTGAATGGACATACCCCCAAAATCCTACCCATTTTCTAGAAAAAAATTCGAGAAGGTGTGAAATTTTTCGATGGAAAGAAAAAATTTCAATTCGTTCTGAAACAAGTATTTTTGCTTGCGGGAGTCAATTACAATCATATTAGGAGAAAAAATTCATATATCTCGTCTGTGGTAAGATCATAGACGAGGTATCCGAGTAGACCTTTCACCACAGATGATGTATATGAATAGACCTTTCACCTTATGTACTTTCGCGGCCGAATCTGACTGCCATACCGACCTGAAAATTCGGAGGTGATTTTAGCGACCTCTTCTCATGGATGGCGGTCAGTTGAGAAACAAGGCACTGAATTAGTATTAATGGGCAGCCAGCTGAATGTGTGCGTAAATACATGTGAGTTGACTATGGGAGGGATTGAAAAAGTATAGCTTCGAGGATTCGAGAAAGGCGGCGAATGTGAGTCTATCCTTCTTGCTCTCAACACAGCTGAAATTCGAACTCGCATAATCTCGAGTGCCCAGACATTTTTTACTTTCCGACCTATGTAGGCATATATGTATATGTTCCTACGCTTGGGTACAAAAAATACCCGCGATCACTATATTCGCCAAAAATACTAAGTATACAACTGGTCACCCGTGTTGATTCAGATATTTCATCCTACAACATGATTGGGGACCAGAGGAAACAAAATCGCATGCGACTCACCAACTGTAGAATTCAACCACCCGGGCGACGATGTCGCCTAGTAGGAGTCATCAGCGAAGTCATCAGCGACGTTAGAAGCGAAGTCAGCATCAAGGTCAGCAGCGAGATCATAGTCGAGTTTCTCTGGATCCACAAGTACGATGATGAGATGTCAGGATCCTTTAGAAGGAAAGAGTAAATGTTTTTACGAAAGGTTTCTACCGTATTTGAAAACTTGATGGCAAATTTAAATCAAACAATTTTTTTTAAGCGTACTCGGAACAAAATACAAAGGATACTTACATTTTTCGCACGTGAGCATCGCCAAATACTCTTTTTCGTATAGATACAGGTTTCCTGTCGAAACGTGTTCACAAACTCTCAAAGCATTGACCA